TTCTCAAACCTCTATTCTCAACTTCTGTGCAACCATAGGCTCAACATGACAGGGAAGCTGCCAAGGTTTGGGATTTCCACCATCTGAAGCAGTGGCCTGAGCTGTGCCTTGGCCCCCTTTAGCTACAGCTGGAGCTGAAGTAGCTGGAACTCAAGGCACTATTTCCCAAAACTGCACAGAGCAGGAAAGCCCTGGACCGGGCACATAAAATCATTATTTTCCTTTTGGGGCTCTTGGCCTGTGATTGGAAATACTGCTGTGAAGACCTCTGACATGTCTTGACAACATTTTTCCCCACTTTCTTGTTGATTGGCATTTGGCTTTTTGTTACTTATGCAAATTTCTGCAGCATGCTTGAGTTTTTGCTCAGAACATTGATTTTTTCTTATCTATCGCATTGTCAGCTGAAAATGTCCCATATTTTTATGTTCTTCTTCATCTTGAATGCTTTGCTGGTTAGAAATTTCTCTGCCAGATACTCTAAATCACCTCTCTCGAGTTCAAATTTCCACAGATCTCTAGGGCAGAGGCAAAATGCTGCCAGTCTTCGTGCTGAAGCATAGCATGAATCACCTTTGCTCCAATTCCCAAAAAGTTCCTAATCTCCATCTGACACCCCCTCCTCCTGGATTTTATTGTCCATATTACTACCAGCATTTTGTTCAAGGTCATTCAACAAGTCTCTAGGAAATTACAAACTTTTCAGTACCGTCCTGTCTTCTTCTGAGCCCTGCCAACTGTTGCAACCTCTATCTTTTACCTAGTTCTAATGTTGCTTCCATATTTTCGGGTATCCTTATAGCAGTGCCTTACTCTCTATGGTACCAAAACAGTGTATTTTTTTGTTCTCACACTGCTAGGAAGAAATACTCAAGACTGGGTAATTTACAAAGAAAAGAGGCTTAACTGACTCACAGTTCTACATGGAAGGCATAGAAACAAAGTTTCAAAATTCTCTGTAAAGTGTGTGACTATTTGTAGTAGAATATGAATAATTTCTACCATAAGGTTCTCCTAAAATTATCATATATTTTTGAGGTAATTCTTGGAAAGCCAAAAGCTCCATTACAGCAATATATTAAACTACAATGCACTCAGTTTATCTGAGAGAATGAGAAAAATTATAATTTAAGAATAATCAGCTGAGCATCGTGCCACATGCCTGTAGTTCCAAATGAGTCAGGAAGCTGAGGAGAGAGACTCAGGAGCCCAGGATTTTAAAGACAGCCTGGAAAATATCGCCAGACCCCATTTCTTGAAACAAACAACAAACAAACCTTTTGGGTCAGAAAAAAAAACCTCAAAAATTGCCCCTCCAAATAGACACAAATTTAATTGCATCAGATTGTGGATCACTTTATGACACAAAACAGTGACACCATGCCAGCACTAAGTGCGGAATAGCATCCAGTTGTTATATTAAGAGATACAGACACCCAAACAGAGACATCAGGTAAAGAGGCTTTCAAAGGCTACTCTGCCAAATGGCAGTATTTCCATGGTAACTGTGTGTACATCCAGGGCTACACCTGTGAACGGTGACATCATTCCCTTTATAGTGTGAAGGCAAGAGACATCACTCAAAGGGACAAGCCCATGGAGGAATAAATTAATAGGGAGACATTTTACTGATACACCGGAGAGTGGTACGGGGGTCACTATTCAGAGTTTCTAAGATGTGTTATCTGCCAAGATTCTAAATATAATTCAGAGATATTCAAAGAAACTGGAATGTCTCCAATGCACACAATTTCAGAAAACAGAAACTGTGAGTCATTCCAGATGTTGGATTTAACAAATGGAAACTTCAAAACAGTCATTACAGAGATGTTCCAAGCACCAAAGGAACTCATGCTAAGATAAGTTAAAGAAGGTATGACAGTAATATTTCATCAAATAGTTAATAGCAACAAACAAAGAGGGTTTTTTTAGAAGAGAATTAATAGATAATCTAAAGATTAAATAAAATACTTAAAACTATGTATTAGAGGGGATAAGCAGTATATTTTATCTTGAAGAGAAGTCAATCAGCAAACTTAGGGACATATAAATAGACATGCTGACAACCAAGAACAACAAAAAAACGACATAAAGTGAACACATGTTAATATGAAATTAGAACCATGTTAAATGCACTACTTTTAATTTGAGAAGGGAAACATGTCGTAAAAATGTAATTATGTATTAGTGGAGAATTCTACGATTTTCATTGTCAATGTTAATGTACATATTGAAGTAGTTCAAGAAACTATGTAAAGTAAGTAAAAATGCAGGTTTTGTGTTGGCTTGTTACGTTCACCCTTCATGTTAGTAGGTGGCCTTACACATTTGAGCTGACCGTGGCAGAAGCAGATGAGTAAACACTTGATATCTGTGCACAAGGAGAAGCTCTCTGTTGCCTCAGGCGATGGACTGATCTATGAAATGCACAGTGACCTGAGTTCCCTGCTCAGTCCCTGAGAGGGGCACCAAGCTGGACACACATGAGCCACCGAGCCTGGCAAGCAAAAGCACCAGCCTTGATGGAAATGGCCAGGTGAGGGGCAACTACTCAGTGTGATTTCTTTTGTTATTAAGAGCTTTAGTGTGGTGGCTTTTTCAAATTCCCGTTGTAGTAGTAATATACTGGGCATGTGAGCAGACCCATGGTCTTTTGCGGGGCTGGAATCACAGAAGTATTGAGAAGCTATACTCATTTTCAACTGCTGTACACTGGTGGTAGCGGCTTTGTATTAGGTCATGCAGTTTGAACACCAGGCCAGTAGGTGGCGCCTGCAGGTAAGAGCCGGCTATGGGGGCTGTAGAAGGATTTATGCTTTACCAGTGGTTAAAGTGGGAAATTTGTCATGTTCCAGATCTTAGAGAAAAGACTTTTAGTTATTTCTCATTCAGTCTGATACTACCTGAAAGTCTCTCGAATACAACTTTTATTTTGTCGAGATGTGTTCTTTCTATACCCATTTTAAAATTTTTTTTATGAAAGGATGTTGAGTTTCATCAAATGTGTTTTCAACATCAATTGAAAAAATATCATATGTGGATTAAAGATCTAAATGTAAAACCTAAAACTATAAAAATTCTTGATAATAGCCAAGGAAATATAATTTAGTACATAAGAACTGACAAAGGCTTTATAATGAAAATGCTAGAAGCAGTTGCAACAAAATCGAAAATTGACAAATGGGACCTAAGTAATTTAAAGAGCTTCTGTATAGCAAAAGATCCTATCAACAGAGTAAGCAGGCAACCTATAGAATGGGAAATAGGATATTTACAACCTATACATCTGACAAAGCTCCAATATTTAGTATACACATGGAACTTTAACAAACATTCAAGAAATAAAAAGTTACCAAATGACATGAAAAGATACTTCAAAAAAGACCTACATGTGGCCAACAATCATAGGGAAAAATGCTGAATATCACTATTATTAGAGAAATACATATCAAAACCGCAGTGAAGTACCATCTCACATCAGTTAGAATGGGTAATCTTAAAAAAAAAAAATTAAAGTTGCAGAAAAAAGGGGAAATTTATACACTTCTGGTGAGAATACAAATTAGTCCAACCCTTGTGGAACGCAGTGTGGTGATCCCTCAAATAATCTAAAACAGAAGTTTCATTTGACCCAACAGTCTTACAACTGGACAGATACCTAAAGGAATATAAACATGTAGGTTCATTGCAGCACTATTCACAATAGCATAGACATGGAATTCACCTAAACCCCCATCACTGGCAGAATGGATAGAGAAAAAGGTGGTACATACAAACCAAGGAATACTATGCAGCTAAGAAAGAATGAAATTATGTCCTTTGTAAGAACATGATGGAACTGGCAGTCATTACTGTTAGCAAACTAATTCAGGAACAGAAAACCAGATACTATATGTTCTCACTTATTTGTTGGAGATAAATAAGAAGAAATATTCTTCCAGGGCCTGAGTCTTCCTTATTCAACAAGTCATTCTAAATTAAGTGTTCAACATGTTGCTGATATTCATTTAAATATTTTATTTCATCTGGACCACTTACATCACTCAAAAAGCAATGTAAGTAGGATTCTAGGATAATAAATATCTGAATAGTGAGAATATGAAGGATATGGATGGTTTTTTAATTCAATGGGCACATAACTGGGGGAGACAATATATCCCTACGAGAAAGTTATTCAGACTTCAGAGATAAGTAATATTTCCTACATTGTGTTTGTGACTTGGAAGTGGTGGATTAAAGAGTGTGGTAGGTGCACAGACCAAGCGGATCAGAACTCAACATGTAAAGATGATCATCTATGGATATGATCTAAAACCATGTAAATACTTCAAATCATTCTATTTAATAGAGTTTGAAATAAAACACAAACTTATTCAAAATACAAATTACTTGGTAATTATTTTGGGAGATATGAGTTCATCAAGAAACTCAAATTCCTATTTCTATTTCAACCCCTCATTCCTACTGTCAATGGGAGGGAAATCTCACAGCCAATCATATAGCAGAGGGCAAATCTGTAAACCAAGAGTCTTTCCATTGAAGGACCTGGGAGGCCAGGACCCTCAGGAAAGTGCTGGGGAGTCTGTCTTGGGAACACCCAGCAGATCTCAGAAGTCTCCATGGGCCCTGCTGGACACTCATGTGGGATAACTAGTGGCCACCTTTTCCGTGTTACCAGAGAGCTCTGACTGTTCCTAATGGAGCCAGAATGGAGTCAAGGTGCCTTCTCAATGTCAGAGACAGCGATGGTCCCAGAAACAACCCAGGTAATCTCTATGCCAATAAAATGTGGGTTCACATCCCACAATAGGTTCACACCCAGTAAAATCAGGAGCACATCCTGGGTTCTTCAGTGGGAAGACTGCTGTCCACAGACAGCTTAGAATTGGGGTAGGGATGCATTTCCTCAAGCAGGATTTAGGGCTTGGTGTCTCAGCATCCCACTCTTATCCAGCCGATGTGACATCTGTTTTCTTTCTAATCCTGGTTCAGCCTTTGAGCTGTGAAATACCCTGCCACATGAATATGCAAATAACCTGAGGTCTCCTGAGATAAATATAGATATATTGGCGCCCTGAGAGCATCACAAAACAACCACATCCCTCCTCTAAAGAAGCCCCTGGGAACACAGCTCATCACCATGGACTGGACCTGGAGGCTCCTCTTTGTGGTGGCAGCAGCTACAGGTAAGGGGCTTCCTAGTCCCAAAGCTGAGGAAGGGATCCCGGTTTAGTTAAAGAGGATTTTATTCACTCCTGTGTCCTCTCCACAGGCGGCCAGTCCCAGGTCCAGCTGGTGCAGTCTGGGGCTGAGGTGAAGAAGCCTGGGGCCTCAGTGAAGGTTTCCTGCAAGGCTTCTGGATTCACCTTTGGCAGCTATGCTATCAGCTGGGTGCGACAGGCCCCTGGACAAGGGCTTGAGTGGATGGGAGTGATCATCCCTCTTGTTGGTGTAACAAACTACGCAGAGAAGTTCCAGGGCAGAGTCACGATTACCGCGGACACGTCCACAAGCACAGCCTACATGGAGCTGAGCAGCCTGAGATCTGAGGACACGGCCGTGTATTACTGTGCGAGAGGCACAGTGTGAAAACCACATCCTGAGAGTGTCAGAAACCCTGAGGGAGAAGGCAGCTGTGCGGGACTAAGGAGATGACAGGGGTTATTAAGTTTAAGATTGTTTACAAAATCGGTTATATATTCTAGAAAAAAAGAACAATAGAAACAAGTACATACTCTAATTTTAAGATAAATATTCCACTCAAGAGTTACCACATAAGCCAAATTCATGGAGTGGGAAAGGCCACACTCAATAAAGTTGATACAAACGTTCCATGAACGTGCTACTGTGAACAAGTTTTCCAATGGGATGAATACGTGATTTGGAGCAAGGTTATTTGACCACATGGTGAGACTAAGAATGATGCTTAAAAAGTGGCAAAAATTTATTTCAAATGTTTCTGTCACTCCTTATCATAAAGTTTATTTTAGAGCAGTTTTAGGGTTACAAAGAAATTGCACAGAAAGTGTGAGAATTCCCACTAATCCCTGCCCTACACAGGCACAGCCTCCTCCACCACAACCATCCTGCCCCACAGGCACAAATCAGTTACAATGGATCAATCTCCAAGGACACTTCGTTCTTTCTTTTTCTGGTGATGCCCTAATATAACAAACCTAAAGTGTTTCAGAGCACCACAGGTTTTTTTCAGTGCTTTCTAGAACTGATATTAGTCAGAGGGAAAGTGGGTGAGGCTATTACTATTTGAACTCTTTCTTCCAAAATCCACAAAATATATGTTAATTTAGAGCTTATCTTACTTCTGGTTTACAATGCTCCTTCCCAAAGAGTAAGACTTTTAAGCTTTTAGAGGCAGGTTCATGTCTCTAAAAGGCCAGAAAGTTCTGGCAAATCTCATAATGAACATCCTTTCATGAGAATTGGAGACCCTGGCAATGAGAGACTCTGTGTACAATGCCCTAGAGTTGGATTAGGTACACTGTAAGCTCCTGGGTGGTGGGTCTGAATAAGGCTGTTTGTGCAGCAAATACAAACACATTCATGGGACCAGGTAGGAACAAAAGTTTCCCTTTACGGAGGGAGTGTGCCCCTGAAGGAGCCCTCACAGAGGTGGTCACTGCTCACCCTTGATGGGTGCACATTAGCCAGAGGCATGATCACGATTGGTCTTGCAGGGAAAGAGCATCACTGAGGTCATAGGTTATGAAAATGTTTGTCATCCTCCAGCTGAGCAAGTCCGTCTGCTTGCTTGTGGGTGCCAACCCTATGGAGGGTACACTGTGGGAGACGACAAGATGAACATAAACCCCCCCTCAGTAATTATCCACTGCCACACACTCAGAACAAACCTGTGCTCCTGAAAGGGATACGTGCCTGCCAAAATAAACAGAGCCTAAGGAGTTTATTACCTGGTGAATATACTGCCCAAAACCACACGTTTCAGGAAGATTAGCTCACAAATGTTTACCAAGTGACTGAAGGGCAGTGGCGGGTGAGGTGACGGGACAGCCTCAGGGCTGCACATGAGAAGGGCTCCCTCCCCCATGCAGGCTTCTCCTCCAGGAACTGCACCAGGAACTCAAGAAGGATCAGGGAGAATTCTGAGAACACCCTGCTGCGGTGCTGCCTAGAGGGGAAGAATAAATATGAAAAAATACAACTCTGAGTAACGTATGGGCATTTGTTCATGAAAACTCTTTTTCTGAAAGCTTTTGAAGGTCTTGAAATGCCCTTGATTAGCTGAGGGCAAACATCGAAACCCTCCTTCCACAGGGAGTTCAAGCAGGCTGGATGTGTCCTTCTATGGGTGATCTTCCCCAGCCCCTTCCTCTTCCCAGCTCATCCCTGGCTCTCTGTGTAAACAGTGCTCATCAGTGGAATGTGCTTGATGAAGTGAGGTCTTCAATTTTCTCATCTTCTGTATGGTCATGTTATTTTCCTCATCTTAGGTTTAAAAACTCACCTGCACGCAGCACCTGACAGCTTAAAATCTCTTGTGGACAAAACAGTAAGTAACAAAGGCACCCACCAGGGTTGAGCATCCCGTGCTGCTGACAGCAACCACCAGGGGTCAACGTCCTCCTCACAATCCTGTGTCAGAGCATCGCCTGAGTGATTTCCTTAGCAACTTCCCAGGAGAATCAGCTTAAAACTACTTGTCCCATTTTCCATACAGATATAACCCATCCCTTTTCCTGAAGAAACAGAGCTGAATACTAAATACACTGAATGTCGTTTTTGCTGGTTTTGCAAGTTTGTGACTTTATCACTTTCTAATTTCTGAGTTATGTGGATCACTCTACATATTTCTCTCATGGGTGTGACAGCCTTCTGGGTGTCAAATATAATTGACTTTCTTCATGTAAAAGTCAACACAAGCTCCTGACGTCTTCTGTGCTCACTGACAACTCTCAACTCACACAAGGTGTGTCTTTATGAGTTTTGTTTTCTGGTATCTCTTCTTGGCTTATTCACCACGCCCATTTGATGTTAGTTGTACAGGTAATTTACTGTTAGTTTTAAAATTTACTGGTGCTTACTTTAATTAACTAAGCAGGCAATTGCTTAGAATAGAAAACAGTGTTAAGTAAAAGTACATGCAGTAATATTTAATGTAAGTTAGCAGGTAGCTGAAAGCCAGGGAAATCTACTCTGCTGTGTAAAAGGGTATGGAGACCTCATAGTATGATGATCTTCTGCAGTTTAATCCACACTGCTACATAAGTGACAGCGTCCACTCTCTTTATACCAGAGCTTTCCCTAACATGTGCAATGAAGACTGAGCCCAGATACCTCCAACCAGACTGACCAGCACGTCTTACCAAGTGCCTGAACTGACAGCGATAGATACCACATTTGTCTAACAAAATAAATTCACACTCTAAGGATACCCACCAGTCATATGGAGATAATTTGAAAAAATTAAAGCCCAAATCTGATAGGTAGTGATTTATACTTAGAAGAATTAACTTTATCTGCACATTTTTTTTAATGATAGAGAAGCTACTAGTGCCACTGTCCAAGTTACTGATATCTTATTCCTAGAATGAGACACTGCATAATGTGTTCTGACACGAGGGAATATAGCTATAGTTAAGGGATAGGAGATGTGATCACAGGAACATGAGTCTGAGATCCAGCAGTTCTTGCTCCTTCACATTTGCCCAGAAACAAAGACGTCAATAGAACAATGGAAACATTGACTTAAGTCTCCACAGTCTGATGTGAGATAAACAGCAGGTATTTTTTGCCTCTGTTTTATAGTAGGAAATGTAATCTCTAAAGAAGGCCCATTTTGGGGATAATACCATTCTCCAGGATGCTTAAATTCCCCCAAAACAGAGAGCACTACAGTGCCCAGTGGCCAGGGTCTACAACAGCTGGGTCTGGAAACCAGTGGACAGAAATGTCAGTTTCTCTTACCACATGTATGATTGAAATTTGAAGAATGTTTCTTTCCTTCTCCATAATCATAGGCTGCGATGGACTGGAGGTCCTGGTACATAAAACAAAAATGTGTCTGCATTGGATACAGAATTCGTCTCATAAAATAATTGTGCTATTGTGGTCCTCACACTGTTGGACCAGCTGACCAAGAAAGTGTTGTAAGAGCTGCAGTGTTTACTGATTCCTATCATATTTGGGGCTACATTCGCATCTACCAAGGGAAAGAGAGCTAAGAGAGATAAGAAAATCTGGCCTATGGCAAGCACAGTGGCTCACGCCTCTGATCCCAGCACTTTGGGAGGCTGAGGCTGGTGGATCACGAAGTCAGGAGATCGAGACCATCGTGGATAACATGGTGAAACCCGGTCTCTACTAAAAATACAAAAAATTAGCTGGGCATGGTGGCGGGCACCTGTAGTCCCAGCTACTTGGGAGGCTGAGGCAGGAGAATGGTGTGAACCCGGGAGGTGGTGCTTGCATTGATCTGAGATCGCACCACTGCACTCCAGCCTGGGCGACAGAACGAGACTCTGTCTCAAAAAAAAAAAAAAAAATTCTCGCCTAGATAGAGTCTACAGATTTATTTTCATTTCTTCAAAATGAGGTAAAAAAATCTCATCAACTAAAATGCGGATGATGATGAATTGATAAAGGACAACAGTCACACTGTTTCAGGTGTGTTTTAACCCAAAGTCACACAACATGAGAGAACCTGAACTCTGGAGTCCTGGGCATCTCTGAGGAGAATCTAGAAGGTGGGCGGGAGCAAACAGTGATTCATGTCTAGGGGAATTTCAGGGGTACCTGCTCTAGGGGAAAGAAAAGCCTGAGCCTCTCCACAGTGTGCTCTGTTAAAAATTTTGTCTGACTTGTTGTATTCTTCGACACAAATATTTTTGTCTAGTCCTCTTTCAAATTTTTTATCTCTATTAAAATTCTCACATTGTTCTTGCATGCTGCCACTAGCTTATTAAACATGTTTCTCATATTTATTTAAATATTCTGCCAGGTAATCCATATGCTTTTTAAATCATTGTTGCCAGTTTCTGGAACGTTATCTTGTCCTTCTGTTTGTACCATTCTCCCTGTTTCTTCATTTTCCTTGACTGTCTTTGTTGCTTTATGTTCATCATAACAAGCAACTCTTTGCTCATCATAACAAATAGCCACACTCTTCAAAGACTAGGCTCATAGAGACCACCCTCACCAATCACTTCACTCGGTGATTGTGGATCTCTCAAAACTTCATAATAACTTCAAAATATTCAAACTTCTGTCTCTGTTCTCAGTGGCCCCCAGGTTTAGAGAATGTTGGGTTGTGCCAGGACTCCCAGGTAGGAGAGGTAGAAACTATTTACTCAAGCAGCCTCATGAATAAGTGCACCAATAGACACAGTTTTATTATTGAGGTATGATTCATCAAAATAATGTCAATTCAAGCTCCTCTTGAGCACTCATGTAACATTGAAATGTTATAGTTTCTTATTTGGATCTCTCTGGAGTTTATCTTTTGAATACTTAGGTAAAATTACAAACTAGTACAAAGCTGTCTATTTCGCAAAATTATCTGTTGCAGAATTTTCATCTTCTGTGTATCTCTTTTTGCACTTAATCTTTTATTATTCATGCATCCATAATATAGAAATCTATCCTAAAATTCCTTCATTTTTTTAAGTTTATGGGTTTTCCAGAAGATGTGAGAACCTTCTTTATTTATAAAATCCCTGATTCCACATTGCTGAATAGTTTCCTCTTTAATTTATCTCCTCCTCTCACATGATATTATATTAAGCAAGGAGAAATCAAAACACACCATCCACACTTTGCTTGGAAATCCCCAAAGCTAAATTTTTAATTATCA